AATTGTTTNTCAGGGATTACATATTATTTCATTATCTGAAATACCTTTAAACACGCAAAAGTCTATTAAGTCTGGAATTTTTTTGGTATCGGTTGGCCAATACGTTGGTGAGCCTGAGAAGGCTGAGTGAAGATTTAATCTTGCCATAGCCGCAAAGAGTTGTCGGCCTTTAGGAGGGATGGGGCGAGACCCCCACTGTGGGTGTTTTGCGTTGTAGTCTCCTCCAGCTAAAAACCTCTTTCCTAGAGTTTGAAGAATTTAACACTCATGCTTGGGTGGGCTATATACTGCTGAGATTGTTATTTGGCCTTTCAAGTCCTCGACAACTATATTAGTAGCTTGGATAGTTTCTGTGCAGTATGAGTTAATATTAAAGTGTTTAATATTGTTTTTTATTAATATAGCTGAGCCAGCATGTGCTTTTTTATCGGGATGCATTTTGTGATAGAGTTTGTAATTCGGTATTTGAAAATAGCTCTTTTCTTTTTTTTAGCGTTTTAACCTCGAGTACGTGTTTTGATAGGCCATTAGCATTCCACAGGAGANGAACAAAGCATACTTTTAGGCTGCCTGTACATCCACTACTGTTTTGTTGCTAGCACTTTCGTTTGTTTCTTTTCAACTCGGCGGAGTCTTACTTGAGAATTTATCACTCGCGCNAGCCTTAGGTCATACAGAATTGGAGCAATTTCGGATAAAAGCTTCGTTAGGGGGGTAATCTTGCTTACTTCATCAACGAAGATTGGTGGGGGCTTGGGATTATTTTCTTTGGGCCTTGGGTCTTCATCGTTTTCTATTTCAAGAGATGACAATCTATTTTTTTTAGTCTGGGATTCGCCTAGCCAGTATTTATCAAGTTTTGCTTGTTTTTTGGTATTTGATGGCTTACCTGGGCTTTCTCGTGGCCTCTTTTTGGGTTATACTGTGGTCCATTCCTTACCTGGGGTAGGTTTATCATTTGAGGCTTGCTTTTGGTAGAGTAATTGTAATTGCTTTTGAAGTAGCTCAATTTGATCCTGGATATTTGGATTTTCCACGAATTTGTTGACTGTCTTGAGATCGTCAGTTGTTGTTGCCGTTTCTGTTCTTTCCTTTCCGGATGTTGTTGTTGCTTTTCCTGTTGTGTCTCTGATTTTTGCGGTGTTTCGGGCTGCAGAGGAAGTTGGGATTCTTGGTTCTGTTGTGACCTTTGTTGTCTATGCTGTTGTTGTTGTGGCTGAGACGATTCCTGCCCTCCCCCTTTGGGAGGGGTACGATTTAAGGGAATTTTGAAACTGGGTGTTTTTGGGGTATTTTTATCTTTTATTTTTTTTAAGTATAAATATACTATGGCAACCCTGAAGTAGTGTCAATACTTAGAAGTGCCCAGAACAAAGCATACTTTTAGGCTGCCTGTACATCCACTACTGTTTTGTTGCTAGCACTTTCGTTTGTTTCTTTTCAACTCGGCGGAGTCTTACTTGAGAATTTATCACTCGCGCAGGTACAATTTTTTAATTTTAAACATCAAGCTCCACTTTCCCTCAGAAGTTTTAAAGCAGTCTTTAGTGTCAATTGTTGTTAAATATTCACTGTATTATTTTCTTGTCTTTTACTGTTTTTTTGGATTGATTTATCACATTGTTGCACTATGTGAAATTTCACGACCACTCGGTAGGGTTACCAATCACCATCTGAATGGTATTAAATTTCCATTCATCAATCAAGTAATTTCAAATAAGAATAAATTTTTATTCTTAATTCAAGCACTTTCGAATGATAAATACATTTTTATTCATCATTCAAGAATTTCAAATAACAAATAAATTTTTATTCTTCATTCAAGCACTTTCGAATGATGAATAAATTTTCATTCATCATTCAAGTAATTTCAAATCAAATAAAACACCTCTTTGAGGTAAAATTTTCGAGTGACGAAAGCTGAACTAGAAACACAAAATTTATGATATCAATTTCGTGACGAAAATTATACCCATTTTTTAACTGCCTTGGAAACGTACGGAAAATCTTTTTTATTCATACGAATCGTTGCAAAAGTTCTGTTTTTTATTTTGTGTTTCTAGCAGTAAACGGAATTTCGCAACCTTCCGAATAAATAAAAAAGGGATTTTCCGTACGTTTCAAAGGCAGTTAAACAATGCGAATAATTTTCGTCACGAAATTGATATCATAAATGTTGTGTTTCTAGTTCAGCTTTCGTCACTCGAAAATTTTACCTCAAAGAGGTGTTTTATTTGATATCAATTATTTTGGGGTAGCAAATTTAAAATCGACGAAAATTCATAACAATAATCTAGATGTTTTATTTTTCTCAAATAAATTGCTAAACATATTATCTAAATCTACACATCGTAAAGCATCTTATAGTGGAGACACGAACGCAAATCAATTTAGCTCTATATCTTTCCATCTAGTAGCCGGAACTCAATATATAAGGTATCGTTAAAAAGGTATTGGCCTATAATCTAACACTAAATATAATTGGCATACCCACATACCCCCTTAAACCGGCAAAAGCAAAAAAACTTTTTTGTTTCACAAAAGTTTAGCCTAATTTTTATGAATTCAGATAATGATTTGGGAAATTTGAATACGTTTTCTGCACACACTCTGCAAGACCTTTCCAACGATACCTCAACCATGTGATTGGACGTCGTGTATATATATTAGAGTCCAGCGCAAGTGTATTTGCCGCATTTCGTTCAATAAGGTCGGTGTTATGCAGAAATTTTGTTTGGCAAACTGCGTGCAATTGTTGTTGCAGCAAACTCGGAGAGAGCGAGTTTGGCGACTCTCACAGCAAACTAATTTTGTTTGGTCAAACTGCAGCAAATTCGGTGTTGTCATATACAAAAATTTTAGACAATTGTTGCTATACACATAAAATTGCCGTGATACCGAAAGCCAGAGAACTTAATTTATGCTGTAGGAGCTTCAAAGATTAGGGCACAGTTAATTGCCTATACGATATCATAAAAAATATATTACTTGTGCGCATTATGTACATCTGAAATTCTCATTTCGTGCTGGCAATAGCCATGAAAACCATAATGAACGTGCAACCCTGTGCCAAACTCGGCATAACCACCTCCGAGCAAACTAAGCAGCCGCCATTTAATTTGGCAAACAAAAGTTTGTCTGCATAACACCGACCTAAGTACTCCTTGCATTGTACTCTACTCCCAACACATTGTTACTCTTTTTCCGCATACATACCCTATTTGGCGTTGAGAGAGTAAATACTTGACGTACTTGCTATTACTCCACCAAAGTAAGTACTCTACTTTCTCTCATCGCGTACGAGAGATATTTGCTGCTGCCAAAAGGGAGTAGCAAATCTACTCTCTGTATACTTGTACTACGGTAAGTACTTGCGTATTAATTTCAGTTCTGGTTGTTAGCCTACTAGTTGATATCGTTTGCGGCGCTGGTCAGTGAAATTAAAAGAGTAAAAATAGAATATGGAAATTGACGATGTAAGGAAATGTTTACGACCTTATTTATAAAAAAATAACGTAGATTTAGACATATGTTTAATGTGACATTTTCATAAAACTTTTGTATTCAAGCAGCTTTTTAAATCTATGTATGTACTTAAATTTTTATGAAAGTATTATTTCTCGTTTCTAATTTTCTATAAAACTATTTGCAGTCATTAACCATCAAATAAGTTGTCAAAAACGATAACTTAAGCAATGCTGCTATACGAAATAAAATTATTAGTGGCAAATCAAAATTTTGAAAAGTGCCGATTTTCACATTCGACGAGATGTACGAGCATTTTTTTCTTAAGAGCTGCATACTGATTTAAAAATTTTTTATAGAAGCAAATTTATTTTCCATTTATTTTGCGTAATTTTATATGAATTTCTAGTTTTTCTTGAGAGCCTTTACAAATAAAAAAAATTTCGGAATATGTACATATGTACATACATACGCAGCCATATAACTTGATTTCTAGAGAAACGAATTTTCATTTGGCACGTTCAGAAGGCGCAACAGCTCAGTAACTGGTGCGATTGCACCTTCTGAACGCGTTGTTGCGTACTTCTGATCAACTGAATAGTTGCGTGTTAGATGATCGTAATATTTTTCTGATCATTTGACACAACATGTTGGTGTGTACCTTTGAGAGTTGAATTTGGACAGCTAATGTATAAAGTCGTTCAGAAGACGCATAACGATCACTGATTTTTTTCTGAACCTACCCATTGATAACTTTTTTTTTTTGATAACACTGCGACAGCTCAAATTGGTATTGAGTAAAATTGGTATTGAGTAAATAGATTTTTTGAATTTCATTGAGTTTTTTTTAATAAATACTAAAATGAGAGGTGTATGATTGGCGAAAGAAATACTATCCGATTTTTTTAAATCGAAACTACATTTTTACATATGTACATATGTACGTGCATACATAAATATATTTAATATGAAATTGAAATTTTCACATCAATTTGCGCTATCTTCAAACCCATGGTTTCAATTGTACGCATATCGTCAGGGTTTTCCCAACAACTTGGTTTTGCTGCAGTGAAGCGACAGAACAAGTGACGAGAAAAAATATATGAGGACACTTATATATGTATCTATGCACATACGTATCTATGTACATACGTATCTATGCACACACATACGTATCTATGCACATACATACATATGTACTTAGGTATGTATATCAGCATTTTAGTTGAAAGTACGTTTTGCTCGTCGCGCTCTTCATCGCTCCACTACTAATCCTGTCCTTAGTTTTATTCAGATACCACAAATGCACGATCCAGAAAATTCTTCTATCATTCTTGCCACAAATGTATGTTTTCTTCGAAAATACTCAAGTACTACCAGTAGAGTACTCTACTGTCAAATACCTTTTACTCGCAGTAGTTGCGGAAGGCAAAGTAAATACTCTACGCGTCTTGCTATTGATCGGTAGTTTACGTACGCTTGCAGAAACTGGTTTATGCTTAATACTAAAATTTTTCAACTTATGTAGTACAAACCTCCAGTTCTTTATCCTCAATTACTTCCACGTTGTGCAAATCACTGCAAACAGATCCTCCTAAAAACAGCTGACCCTTAAGTTTAGGATTTTCTGGGTCAGTAACATCGTATTGACGCACGTCACCATGCAACCAGCAACTCAAATACAGAAATTTATCGTCCAATGATAGAATTATGTCGGAAACCATACCATGTAAAAGATGTGCGTCCTCACCATTAATTGAGATAAGTTTCGGTGGTATATCGATTGCTTTTTTTGCGACAAATTCGTCAGAATCAAACATCTTTTTAAAATAAAATATATTTGCATACAAGCAGGCACCCACAAATCCATCCGGACGTTTTGGATCATGCATAAAACGAACTTCAAGTGGAGTTATACCATCGGGACCCAAATCAATAGTTTGATATAAGGTATGTGAAGACCAGTTATAAAAATTCAACCGGCAGCCATATTGATTTAAATCATTCAAGTCTTCATTCCGCCAGCCTCTAAAACAGTAGGAGAATAAATAAGGTGATTGTAAGCTCATTTTCGTGCAATACATAAGTTAATAAATAATAAATAAGTTAACAATAATTAGGGTCCAAATTATTTTAAAGTACCGATTTTAATTCAATATTGGGAAAATTGCCATGATAAAGTTGATTAAGTACGTACCCGTGGGCATAGCCAGAACGAAATTCAGGGGGAGCAGGCGGGGGGCTCCCATACAAACAAATTTTATTTCAAAACGAATATAATTTTTATACCCGAGCGCACTTGTGCACAAGGGTATTATAACT